CATAATCTGGAGTCAGTCTGGAAATTTACAGCACTCAGTACACATAACAAGCTTCAGATTTTCAACACCCATATCAATTCGGTCCTTCTACATGGTTCGGAGTCTCGGCGTGCAACAAAAGCACTCCCAACAGGCCACTGGAAACTTTTATCAACAGCTTCCACAATGAAGATCAGATGGGCAGAGAGGACAACCAACAGGGAACGAATCCTCCATAGCCTATTGCTGGTCCAGCGAATAAAGCGAAGGAAATAAAAAAAAATGGATCGGACACACGCTGAGGAGACCGTTGAGTGAAAGCAGGTGCCAGGCCCTCAACAAGGGGAACCTGAGTGGGAAATAACCAGTTAGGCATCCGAGGGTGACAGCTTATGGGTAATCGTAGAGCCAATTAAAATGGGATACAGAGTATGGGATGAAATGGTGATGAGTTGCTGAAGCTCTATGCTCCACTCAGAACCTAAGGGAATCAATATATAATACAAATCAGGAAACATTTTTGTTATTATTAAAGCCTATAACAAGCTGATGGATTTTTGATTTGACATTAGTAACTAGTGTGATGTGTCTAGTCCTCTCTTTAGTGCAGACTGAATTCTATCAGTTAGGTTTGCCATGTCGCCACCATTCTAGGTAGCTTGCCATCACAGTGTAAATTGATTTGACGATATTAGATGGTTGGAGGCAATCGGCCACAGGAAGCCTTCGATCTACGTTTCGTGCTAGTTGGCACTCACCAGTCAGCAAGGCATATCTGCAACCTTGAAGGAACTCATGTCCCTTCTGAGATTCGAACCTGCGTCACCTATCATCAAATCAATGTGCACCGTAGTGGCGAGCTACCTCGAATGGTGGCCACATTACAACCTGACTGATAGAATTCAGTCCGCACCAAAGAGAGGACTGGACGCATAACACTAGTTACTAGTGTCCAATCAAAATGTCCACTACAGTCCTACAGGAGGTTAATGGCGAGTCGGAATAGCTCAGTGGTAACGTTTCTGACTGCAGCACTGGGTGACGCAGGTTCCAATCTCAGAAGGGACACGAATTCCTTCTAGGTTGCAGATACGCCTTGCTGACGAGTGCCAACTAGCACGAAACCTAGGTCCAAGGCTTCCCGCCGATTGCCTCCAACCATCTAAGCTGACGGTTTATTTTTCTTCAGCAGTGCTTTTATTTTTGGCATTAAAAATTTTAAATGACTTCTATAAAAAATACCATATAATCGTCTTGATTTATAGTTTGTACACTAGTAAGGCGGCAGACCAACTAATATGGAAAAATCCAAAGGTACTTTGAAATGTAATACTAGTCTGCTTTCTAATAACGTTTACCAGATACATATTACGTGTATGTAAGTTAACGTGTACATTAAACCTTTATTATAACTGAAAGCAGTTTTCTCTTAACAGCCATAAGAAAAGAATAACCTTTATTCGAAAAGTTTTGGTAACATAAGTAGTTACCCGACGACTGGAAATGAAACTCTGCATACCCTTGAACTACTTGTCTAAACGAACAGAATGCTGTGTACATTGGCTATAAAGTTAAATCCTTTTTTATTTAATTGGTGGATGGTGACTAGCAGTGAAATCCAGGATGCGCGTTTCGTCCTATTTTGGACTCGTCCTCTGGATGTACATGCATTCCCATTCCCAAGTCAGTGAGAGATGATGTCTCCATGGAAGACCGAACCCAGTGCCCATAGTTTCGAACGCCAAAGCGTTATCCACTAGACCACTTGGGCCACGAGAGCCACCTCTTGTGCAACGGGTCATATTGATTTAATTGAATTTTAGATTTTCCCATCGATTGACTGAAGTGCTCGGTCTCAGGTTGACATGTCGGCTTCTTGAGCAGATAATTCGAGCCTCAGTGGGAAAATCATCACTCACTGAGAAATGCAGGTAAATCCGGCTGACGAGTCCCAATTAGGACGAAGTGCGCATCCTGGATTCCACTGCTAGTCACCATCCACCAATTAAATGCCCAGACATCGTCGAAGCATCTGCTCAAGAAGTCGACATGTCAACCTGAGACCTAGCACTTCGGTCCAATCAATCGACGGGAAAATCTAAAATTCAATTAAATTCTTTTTTCTCTGAAAACCATTAGATAGACACTAATACATTCATAGTCATCAAACTGAAACATGAGAAGAATCACTGAACTTCTTGATAACTTCCTTGACCAGATCTATGAGGTTGGTGAAATCAACTGTCAGAAGTCTTGAGTAACAGCTCAAGAAACTGATTTAAGAATAGAACTTGTGAACTGTGGTAGAGTATAATTCCATGATAGGTAAAATTTATTTCGACAAAGTCTCACAGTGTTATACAGTAATATGTACTGATGACGTTTCGAGGACAATTTATTGCCACTCATAATCATATCAACGTACTCACACAACTTTCTAACTTTATTTATATAATTCCATTATTTTCCATCTCTTGATTTGATTGGTAGTAGCACTTTCCATATTTTCGGTAGGAGTGTTTCCTATTGCACATGTTGGGTGTAGACTCGATGAACAAGGATTCAGTAATCAACCTGTTTCTCCACCTACATAGATTACTTCTTAGAACCTTAACCCTGTCCCACCGTATTGTGTGTTAATGCATGCAGTGCAATCGCTGAGCTTTTTTCTAAATTACTTATCTTTTCGGGGTCAACCATTCTTACCTTAGCTAAATTCTTATGTTCTGAAAATCTGACTACCCCTGACCTACTAGTTTGACCTATGTAGTTGACGCAACTCACAGTCATTGCAGGGTATTTTGTTAATTATATTATTTTGTCTAATTGGGTCCTTTAACCTACAGAGCTTGTCCCTGAGTGAGTTTGTAGGTTTAAATGCCACCCTAATTCCTGCTTTATTTAGAATCCTACGTAGGGTCTCAGATGTCCCTTCTTTATATGGTATAACTGTAGATGACTTATATTCTCTCTTATTTATGTTATCACTATTAGTTTCACAATTATTTTTATTTTGCTCTTCTTTCGGCTTCAAAGTTGTGGTCTCTTACACGAACCAAGATTCATCCCATTTAAATTAGAACAGCTGGAAAGTAACTACTAACATTTTTTCACTGATAGAATCACGAGCCCGAAAAGCTCAAAAGTAACGTCACTGACTGCAACAATAGGTGACGTAGGTTCCAGTCCCAGAGAGGGACATCAGTTCCTTCAAGATTGCAGATACGTCTTGTTGACTAGTGCCCAAAGGGACGAAACCTAGGTCCAGGGCTTCCTACAGGTTGCCTCCAATCATCTAATGTGTAAATCATTGTCTAGTGCACACGAAGCGAAATTCGCACTGGTTGAATAATCTGCACCATATTTATGTTAGAAATTGTCAGCCTAATTAAATCACTGGGCTACCTAAATTTTCTATCCACTGAAAAGTATCGTGTTTACTCTTTTTCAAATTGTTTTAATCCTCCAATTAGCACAATGAGTCACATTCTATACTCGCGCACAATTTCAAATGAGTTTCTACCTACCACTAGGAGGTTTCTGAAGGAAATCGAGAGAAAATTGTGGAATAGTATCGGAGCATAATTCGGATGGAACAACATTTCTTCACATGATACATTAACGATTATTAGAAGATTCTGTACAACAGGTAAATACCTCGCAATGAAACTCGCTGAATATTCTGCATTGTGTAAAAACGCATCTTTCAGAAAAAAACCCTTATTATTTTTTTTCAAGTTCGACCACGGATCGACACCAGTTAGAGAACCATTGAAAATCAGCAGGGAGTACTGGACAGCTATTTCTCCCTAGTTCTAGGACTCATCAGTAGTACGCATCCACCAACGGGGATCGAACCCAGGACCTTCCGGTTACAAGGCAAGCTCGTAGACCACTCAATTGGCCATGAATCCTAACTTCTACCAACTCGTGATTTTAGCAAAACCACCAGCCAATACCTGATTCTCACTAGTGCATGGCTACAGGAGGGAGTTTCCTTGAGTTCCAGTGAGAAGTCGTGACCAGTGGGGTTCATCCTGTCGAGAGTGAGGACAAAATGCTCGCTGATGACATCGGCGGAACTAGGACGAGACAGCTATCCAATACTCCCTGGTTTTCAATAGTTCTCTAACTGGTATCAATCCGTCATCAAACTTGAAAAACGAATCAAATGACAAAGAAAGCGGAAAAGGACTACTCACTGTCTGTAAACAAGAAGCCTTTATATATACGACTACAACTCATGGGCGATATACCAAGCAACCAAACCATCCAGCTCAGAGAACACAACCACACCAAAAAAAACCAAGCGAGATAATTACGAAGAAATTAAGAAAATCAGTACAAAGAACTTTTAATGCTGGCGAACTACACGTCTTATTCTCTACACGACCGATGGTGCTACCTCGACTGAAAGATGAGGTACCTAGACTAGCCACCTCCAATTGTATCTACCAATTCAACTGCGTTGATGGTGGAGCGAGTTATATTGGCCGTTGCTCTACGAACTTGATTTTTCGTGCACTCTCGAGAACATATCCCACTATGGCTAAGTAAAGCTATAGTTAAAACTATTAACAGCTCGATATTAGACCATCTGGTGCAAACCGGCCACAAAACCAGCCAGCATTTAAGAATCCTTCTCTATCATCTACCGGGTGCCTAATAAAGTGACAAAATCATCGAAGCACTGCATGCTCTAAACAGCAGAGGCTATTGTGATTCGCCTCAAACAACCAGTGCTCTGTGTCCAAAAAAAAACAAGTCCAGCCCCTACTACTGCCTTGGCCCTCAGTAGAGACTATAAACTCATGAATTTGTAATATTATCTTTCCTAATTCTTCTGACATTCTGCTTATTTTATGTTGATGCTATTGAACTGTAATCCACTAATATTATTAATATTGATTCGATGTTATTTAAACAACATTAATGTTGTTCATAACACTAATTCATTTATTCACTATACTGTATATATATAACTGTAGAGCATGAAGATGAATTTATCGAAAAGAGTACTCTTTGTTCCGTGTCCATTCTTTATTATTATAAAATTATATATGTGTATTAATCGTAAGGTAGAAAAGTAGCTTTTCTATAAGAATCTATTAAATACAAAATAAAAACGTATACGTCTATATACATGAAACTTTACTGTACAAAATGCATTTTTTTTGGGGGTGGCTACAAATAACATTGAAATTTATGCTTCTTGACATGGATCAGTTGATGAATTTGACAGATTGAAACCACTCTTTTGAGATTGCAGACGTTTACTTCTCCTTCTACTTCTTCCATTTTCATTCTTATCTTCAATGATATTCAAAGTCTGCATATCGCTAATCATCATTTCAGTGGCATCACTATCACCAGATGAGTCACTGGCAGTTTCTTTTCTTCTCTCTTCTGTTACATCATTACTGTCATTCGCTGACTGAATTCTTATTTGTACAGGCGGTACCGTTGATGTTGATGATGACGGTAATCTAGGCTTAGAATTTGAAGGAGTAGTAGTAGTAGTAGTATGTGGTCTACGGTGACTCTTTTTGCGTAATGATTTAGGCGTAGTATTTATCGGTTTACTGATGACTTCTTTTGGTCTAGATTCTAAGTAGACTGAATCTTTACCAGTTGGTTTACGATTCAGTGCGATATCAAATTCTTTACAGTATAATTCTTCTACACATATGAATTGAATAAAACCTACACTATTGGCTACGGCGATCCATGTTGCTCCTGTTGGGTTCGGATTGAATCGGATCTATAGAAAAAAGTAATACGTCAATACACATAATAATAATAATATAATATCGAGTAAAATAAATAATTCCTGATTTGGGAGAAAAGTTGGGATAGAGGAATCTATAGCAGTTTTGAATATCAGTCTGAACTTTGGTCATATTGTGATGAGAGCTGTCTGCTAGTCAAAATTGGTAGACAGCAATTTACGTCAATGTTTACTTCCCAAATCTTGGTCATGAGAAAAAACAAGAATAAAGCCTAACCTTGGGAAACTCAACAACCAATCACAGCAGACTTAGCGTGGGCGGATACGATTAGCAGATATATATAAACGGACTGTTTAAGAAACGGCAACAAAGAGATAACAGAATAACCTTCATCTGGAAAACAACCAATCAGAAGACGTTGCTTCTCTGCTAACAATAACGCTAATAATAATGTACATAAAAATCTATAAATATCTGTTGATTTTCTCAATAAACGATCTGTTCCCTGGCCTTTGTCTTCTGTCGTTACAATATAAATAGCATCGCTTATCAGTAATGCAGAGACGGCTATTTAATATAAAATGATACCTTTCTAATATCAGGTTTTGAGAAAAAAAACTACCGCATTACAGTTGACTGTTAGGATAAATGATAACTTTCAAGTCTTCCCATAGGTGGCATTAATTAGTGGGTGTTAATATCTGAGTGTAAATTAGCATTTACAGCCAAGTAATCGTTATAACAAAGTTAATCTCATAGGAGTACTATCTACATGCTATTTTGCTTATGATAGAAACTAAGAATTACTACGCACATGATCCAGGGTTCAATGTTCGGCCGATGCACTCCGAAACCAGATAGTAGTGAGCCAAGAGAAAAAGGGAAGGTTAGGCATGAGACTAGAAACCACATCTTGTCATAACAAAGCCCCTAACACTAATAAAACTTCGAAGCTTGAAGCCTTCTGTTCCAATCAGGATGCAAAGGAATGAGAAATATCATTACGGCGTAATCTAAGTAAATAGGTGGTAGACGGACGAAGTTAAACTATCATAGCCAAAGCCTCCTTTATCTTGGACAACCAATCCCAATTTGTGTGCAAAAAGTTGCAGAACCGTTCAAAAAAATATTTGCTAAGCAATATTGCAAACATGATATTACACTGGATGATTATCTCTTCTGTATTGTAAGAATGTCTTCCAGTTACTTCAAGGACAATCCATAGAGAAATACTGCTGTATGCGATAGATGTATCCATCTAGGCGATTGTAGACCACGGTACTTAGGGATTCATTGACATTCCTGACACTGTTCTTCAACCTAACCCTACCTAATAGCATAGTCTTACAGAGAAATTACCTAGATAATAATAAGAATACTTTATCTACCCGCACCGAATTCATTAAAGACGGGCATTACTTGGCTTGGAATAACCTTTAATAGCATCCACTTAATCTGATGGATTCTTGAAAATCAACTTTTGGCAGCACTTAACTTTAGCTATGAATTTGATTGGTGGATGGTGACTAGCAGTGGACTCCAGAATGTGCATTTCGTCCTATTCGGGACTCGTCAACCGGATGAACCTGCATTCCCCAGTGAGTGGTAATGTTCCCACCAAGGCTCGAATCCAGTGCACATAGTTTCAAACACCAAAGCGTTATCCATTGAGACCGAGCACTTCGGTCCAATCAATCGACGGGAAAATCTAAAATTCAATTAAATAATTTAGCTATGATAGCTTAATTTCGCCGGCAGACGACTGACGCATTCGCTTTTCAACATCGCTATTGTCACAGATAGAATATATCTATGAGTTCTTCAAAATCCCACGGTACTCAAATCATTCAAGTATACTAAGAATATCTTTCATTTCATTGTGATTCACTAAGATACTTGTGTTTTTTGGTAAGTCAGAATATACCATCAGAATATTAGAGTCGGCAATACGAAATGCTACAGTCAGGAAACAATTCACATTACACTACACAATATTTGAGACATGAAATACGGAATAATTTCTAAACACTGAATGATAAGAATTTCGATTTCCTCTCTTGGAACCTTTGTCTATGAATATATAGACGAAAATTCAAAGATTTACAGAATAAATTGGAATAACTGTGAAAATATATTGCATATGATTTTTAGCAAGATTCACTACTGGCAACATATGCATGAATTTGGATAGTTTGATGATTAGAATGGTTGATACATCTATTTCAATTCGACGGTGACATGTTGTTTACGTGAAGGTATGCTTACCCGAGAATCATAATCATAGCGTCTGTATGCAATGATGTAATTTATCGGCTTCAATTTACCTACAGTCTGTGTTTTTTATGTCACATTTCATAGAAGGTTTATCACCTAACTGTTATTAATAAATAAAACAAGTAACGATATAATAGCCTAGGTATATAGTAGTCACTAATTAAGTGAACATATCAAACTTTTGAAGAAAAAAAACTCTTACTTTGTTTATCTTCAACATTGGTGTATTGATAAAATCCAAATCAGGTTTGAATGGTACCTCGTCCTAATTTAAAATAAGACAATAAATAAAAGAGTAACAAAAAGTAGAATAGTTTTGATAAAGAATATGTACTTAGAGTGTGTAGGTGGTTCGGGGTTCGATTCTCTGCTGACGCACTGCCTCAACCTCACTTAGTCGGTAGTAAGCCAGTTGATAAAGAAAGGTTGGACATGAGGTTGGTAGTCAGTACTCTGTAAGAAAAAAAAGCCACCGCTAACTGAAGCTTCAGAGCTCAAGTTTGAAGCTGAACTGAAAAGGAATTTGATTCACTATACACAAAAATCGATTAACCACTACTAGAACATGAGGAAGAATACCAGACTGCCGATTCAGGACCACATTCAGCAGCTCAATCAATAAATGATAATAATTTCCACTTCATTCGTTCAGTTATCAAAAGAATATTTTATTTCTCTAACTGATCCGTACAAATCTTAGTGTCAACCAGTAAATTAATACATTAAAGTGGTATTCATCACTTTTTATTATAATATTCCTTTTGGGTGGTTGAGTGCAATCAGCAGGAAGCCCTAGATCTAGATTTCGCACGCTATTTGGCAATCATCAGCAAAGTGCATCTGAAACTTTTTAGGAACTGATTTCTATTTTGAGATTCAAACCCATGCCAATCAGTCAGAGACATTATACTTGGTCTATTTGCAATTAATAGTGTTCTCTGAGCTGGTATGTATAATGTATATCAACAGTTGACAAAAAACCCTATACAAACATTAGATAACAAAATCAGAACAGCGTTAAATAAACTAACGAAATCAGGACAAATTACAGAACAAGATCAATGGCGAATGAAATCTAACGGACCTATTTTACTTCGATTTTATGGTAGACCAAAACTACACAAACCAAAATCTTAGACAGTGGAAACACTAAAAGTGCCAGGGAATTCCTAGAAGCCTGGTACTCAAACGAAAATGCAACTAACAAGCACGTTAATATAGACGAAATATACCAACTAATAAAAAGTAAATCGGGTGACCAGAAAGTTTAAAATCCAAGTCAATAGAAAATGGTCACATATACATATGTAAAGATAGTTACCAGGAGACGCAATTATATCACTCATGAAGAAATTTAAATCATTTCACTTTGTGCTAAATATGGCGCTGAAGATGTTGTCCAGAAGGACGACGAAAGCTTCGCAACTAAACCAACCAGCTCAGAGAACACTATTAATTGCAAATCATCCACCTGAGCTACAAACCTTCTCTATTACTTCGTCTATTTACTGACCTGTGCGGTTTTATTTTAAAAACTGTTGGCTATTTACCATTTCCGTTTAAATGTTCATCTAGTTTAACAAGTAATCCGAACCTTTAGGATTCCATCCTCAGTGCGGATATGGATGTGCGTTGCTGACGAATCCCAAACTGAGACGAAACATATTCGTTTTTCCTGCCTCTTACTGTTTCTACACCTTTAGACGGAGGTGGGGGATAATTCTTACAAATTATTGATCAAGTAAATGACAAAATACTCTTTCAAGGGTTAGCTTTTAGGGAAATCATTTGTTTCAAATTTAATCACGGATTGATATAAGTTAGAGAGTCACTGAAAGTCAGAGAGTACTGGAGAGCTGTTTCGTCCTAGTTTGGGACTCATCATCAGTACGCACCCACTGGGTTTTGAAATCAAGACCTTTCAACTAAAAGGCGAGCTCATAAGCCATTCAGCCACTGGAATTCGACTCAATGATTAATGAATTCTAACTTCTACCAATTCATAATTTTAGCGCAACGTTTTCATGGAAAATAATAAGCTGTCTACAGATAATAATAATAATTTATGGTCTCCCTGAACATAGTCATCAGTGGTTTGAATCGTAAACTCATTTCGAGGTGAAATAACTGAAAAAAAGATAATTAAAGAGTGCTGTACTTGAGTGTCATGTAGGTTAACATTTTGTTAATACAAGTGAACATCTCATTCAAAGAAGAAGAAAGAAAAGCAAACTCCACTTATCATTATGTAGTACCATTTGTATACACCCACAAGTCACATCAAACAAACGCATAGACTACAGCTGAATTGTATGCAAACGTGTATAAGTTTTTATTCACAACGGCAGAATGAGCAGAAATGCTAAGAAAAGTTTACAAAAGATATAAGAGGAAGAGGGAGAGTAACAAATGTAGGTCTATGAAAATATTCAAAAATGATGAAATAGTGAATAAACCAAGACACACCAAGCAGATATTCAGATATGTATATATATACTACTGAAATTCTGCGGTTACTGATTCCGACCATTTTTCTAGATACTTAAGCAGCCCACATTATTTCTGCTTCATCAGTTCAGATATCTGACTACTAACCGATGGGTTATGGATTAAATTTCCACCTCATTTACTGAGGTTTGAGCATTAAGGGGTGGTATTGTCAACAACCTCTATATTATAGGGCTCAGTAATTTCTGTTCATGTGGAGAATTTGGGTACTTTGGTAGTATGAAATCCTACAATAATTTGTTTAATGAATATATCACATACAGGGAAACATTATTATTTAATGGACGACGTTTCGAACACAACTTGTTGTTTTCAATCACATCGCAATTATATCTACACCACTACGAAACTTCATCTTTATAGTTCCCTTTCTGCTTTCCATCTGTCCTGAGGGTAGTAGAATTTTCCAGATGTCTCGGACAGGTGTTGAAGTCCCTCTTTCTCTCCCAACCTTGTTACATTAGATTTTAAAATTGTCATCTGATACCATCCGCTTTTATGGGTGTGTGTATGTGTGACTGCGCGTAGTGCTATAGTTGAACTATTCTCTAGATTTTTTTAATCTTACCAAGGTAAACTAATCTAGATTTTCCTAGGTTTTAGTGCTCCACTAGTCTAACTGACTCCAGCGTACTACTTTGACCTATGGTATTTGACATCTCCATTTCTGAATAAAGCAAGCAGAACCAATAGTCTTGGAAAGGAAGCACATACATGATGGTGGTGTACCAAGTGGCATTCTAAATTTACTGCTACGTAACCAGCTATCAAAAAGGGAGTAAAATACGAAAAGAGGTAAAATGTGGAAATGTCAAAGCTCAGTTGAGTCGTGTTTGTTTGTTGACACAGACACTTGACGTTCAGCTATTGATTAATGAAACCTAAGCATATCCATATGATATCCCCTCTAGCACAAATCCAATATCTTCTAACTTTTATGTGTTTCAGGCTTACTTGAGCTTACATTTGTACAAAAGAGAGGAGAATATCGTTAGTTTTTTCACACATTAGTGATTATTCACAAGGTATGTTATGTTAAATAATTTGAAATAGAGAAGTAGTCACTACTCATTAGACCAAAGTACTTGTCAGGATGCATTTATTATTATTATATCCTTTAATTCCTACAGAAACATAGGGCTTCAGCCACACGTCTCCATTGCGTTCGGTTCTCTGCTAGAGTCTTCACCTGGCTCCAAGTCTGCCCACACGTTTTCATCTCCTCTTCACATGACCTCCTCCAAGTCACCCTTGCACTGACGACCAACTCGCCGCTTCCCTTTCGGGTTTTATTCGAGCAATGGCTTGTCTAGTGATGTCACTTGATGGTTTCCTCAGAGTATGGCCAGCCAATCCACTTCTATTTCTTCCTGCATATTTCTTGCACAATCGGTTCCTGGTTGGTTCGCCAGCTGATCTTTTCTGGCCGGCCATGTGATCTTCAGTATTGAGCGAAGACAACTGTTAATGAAGGTCTGTAGTTTGTTTGCGGTGCTCTTTATGACACGGCAAGTCTCTGATCCGTATAGCAGGTAGCACTGACTTTACATTGGAGTTGAAAATTCGGATCTTATTTTTGATGCTGAGTGCTATTGGTCTACACACAGACATGAGAGAAATGAAAGCTTGTCTTGCTTTTCCGATTCTTGCTTTGATATCCTCGTCAGTTCCACCTGTAGTTGAAACGACGCTTCCCAGGACACATACTTATTCTTTATTCTTATTATTACTATCTCCTTAGCTTTGGAGTGGAACATAAGGCTTCAACAGTACATCTCCATTTCACACTGTTCTCTGAAGTCCTTTTTAGCTGACCGCACCATTGACAATAGGCTTTCATCTCCTCTTCATACGATCTCCCCAATAATATCACTTTCAGACCGATGCCAAACTCATCGTTTCCCATTCGGGTTCCACTGGAGCAATGGCCTGGAGCGCAATGTCATCCAACAGTCTCCTCAGCGTGTGTCAGATCCATTTCCATTTTCTTCTATATATCTGTTGAGAAACAGGTTTTTGGTTGGCACGTTTCCAGAGTTTCTTGTTGCTAACTATTTCTAACTATTAGATCTTTAGTATAAAGTCAGCGAAGGCAGTTGTTGACAAAATTCTACGACAGGCCGTTTGAAATGCTTTTAGTGACGCGAGCGTTGACATATATTAACTGACTGATTGACCTAACATTGGTGCCGAAAATCCGAATCTCTTTTTTTCTGCTGAGTGTAGAAGATATCTAAACTGATCTCGGAGTGATGAAGGTGTGCCTTGACCTAGCCTTTCTGATTTTGGTCTTGACATCGTCATTCGTGCCGACTGTCGTTGAAACAATACTGACCAAATAAGTGACCTTGTTCAAATTTTTTTCCCGTTGGTAGTGATTAGTGCTTGTTGTTGTTGTTGGTTGGTTATCTTCATTACCTCCGTCTTCTCTAGGTTCACTTGAAGTCCTGTTTTTTCACAATTAATTCGATTCTAAGTGGAAGTGAACACACAATGGATGATATTCTGAGATAGACTAAATTAGAAGTGGATCCAGGCAAATACAACAACCATTAGTTCATATCATCATCTCTTTTGTTCATATAGACGACACTGTATATACACAAAAAGAAAGCAGTTTTGAATGGTTTGCAAATGAAAATACTAAGTGTCACGTGAATATTACAACTGTTATGATTGAGTGTCACTGAGTTGTGGCTGTTGGTGCCTAAACTTGACTAGAATGCACCTCCAGAATACACAAAAATAAGCAATTGATTACTTCATGAAATCATCTCCCACACTGATATAGACGGAAAAACTGACGACCGGAATGAAAACAACAAAAACAACCACAAAAACGTCTATGAGACAAACGTACATAGTATATCACCATATTTACAAAACCTCAGGGATTTAAGGCATAAATAAACGAATCAAAAACTATCCAATCAGATTTTCCTATCAATACATGCCTCAATCATGACTTCGTGGATAATAGAGAAACTTGTCAGTCCCAACAACAACAACACTAAGGGAAAATGCGTCAAATAAGTTCAATCCAGAAAAAGACAATAAAACACAGTAGGAATAACTTATTTTGAGAAGAAAAACAAGTTTGCGCTATGTAATGCAGACGAATTAGAGCAGGATTCAAATTCCACACAGTCTTTTCCGATGATTACTATCACCAGTTATATTCTCATAGGATTGATTAACTAAGAAGTGCCCATACTTTTTCTATTCACACGAGAACTTCACATCATCGTCATCATTATATCAGAGAGAATAACACTAATTTTGGCTAGACATTGGCTAGCGGTCACGTTATGTCGTGAATTGGTAGAAGTTAGAATTCATGGGTTGGCCATTGGATTGGGTCCCAGTGGCTTAATGGTATACGAGCTCTCTAGCCTTATAACCAGAAGGTCCTGGGTTCGAATCCCGGTGGGTGAAGAGTCCCAAACTAGGACGAAACAGCTGTCCAGGTTTTCCAACTGTTCTCTAACTAATGTCAGCTCATGATGAAAATCCTGTAACCAATCAAATCCCTACAAACCAACACTTGAATATCAGTGAGATGCTCACTAGCGACTTGCCCTATTCAGGTAGGTAGTTACCTGGGGTTCTAGTGAGCAGTCGTGACCAGTAGGGTGCAGCAGGTCGGGTGTGAGGACAAATACTCGCCTAAGACATTGGCTAGTGGTCGTGCTATGTCGTGAATTGACAGAAGTTAGAATTCATGGGTTGGCCATTGGATTGGGTCCCAGTGGCTTAACGGTCTACTAACTCGCCTTGTAACAAGAAGGTTCTCTATCCGAGCCCCAGTGGTGGGTGCGTACTGATGAAGAGTCCCAAACTAGGACGAAACAGCTGTCTAGTACTCCCTGTTGGTTTTCCAATGCTTCTCTAACTAATGTCAGCTCATGATGAAAATCCTGTAACTAATTTTTTTTTATTGAACAATATGAATGGAAATCAACCTGTCTGTATACCACCATCGGCTCTCTACAAGCTGGTCAAAAGTCAAAAAATATCCCACTTGTGAATACATAATTTCGCACACATTCAATAAATAAATAAATAAAGAAAAGTAAACCTGTCAACAAAATAAGACGCAGAATTTATCAAGTGTTAACAAGAAAATAACCCCGAGTGCATAATTTAAGCAAATAGATAGAGAGAATCAATAAGTAGAGGTTTCTTTCTCCGTTGTATTAATGATAGTACGAATAATATTGACCGGATATATATATATTTATATATTTATGCATATATGCACTATAAGGGTGATAAACTGATAGACAGCAATGGGTCAATCCATCAAACACTATTCAGACCGAATATAAATAAACGCAGAAACCAGATATCATATAATATTGATTAGACGTAGCAGGTGATATATATGCATATATATGTATGTTATAGTGCTTGCTTGTTTGCTGCACAAACACACATACACACACACGCACATAATATGTGCGTTACAGTGTGTGCTGATAGACTAAGAATAAATACCACCTCGTTTCTGATTATTATAAAAAATCAAGAGCAAATTAATAAATATTTCTTTGAAAAAAAAAACGAAAAAAAGAAATATAAGCATAAAACTACCTTTAACAAAATTTGTAATTCATGATTAGCCCATAGTTTATGCCAACACATAGATTGTTCCAGTTCACAGTGTTCACAATCAGGTGAAGGAAAAATTGATTGACGAAGTTCTTCATCACTGTCATCACCATCATCATCATCGCCAACATCATCATCCTCCTCTTTAATAGCCATCTCCTCTAGTGAAGTAGTAGGAGTAGCAGCGGGAGCAGCGGCAGCAGACGCAGTGATATCATTACTATAATCATCACTAGTAATTGAAAAGTTAGCAATCGATGGAGGAGTCGGAGGCGAAGAAAACGATGTTGACGGAATACAATCGAATTGATTTTCATCAAAGAAAGAATTGATATCTATGATGTCATAATCATATTTATTGAAATCTCCTTGTTCGTCGTCAACTGTGATTACCTCTTCATATTTCACTTCAGGTTTTATGCGTCGATGAAGAGTTTCAGCAGGTCGTTTGTTGATAATCCACTGACATATTGGTATTCTCATCTGAAGAACAATAGTAATAATAATGGTAGAAATAATATTAGAAATAATAATAGTGTGGTAAGAGCTGTCTGCTAGCCAAAATTGGTAGACAGCAATCTACGTCAATGTTTACGTCCCAAATCTTCGTCGTGAGAAAAAACAAGAACAAAGCCTAACCAATCACAGCAGACTTAGCGTGGACGGGTACGATTAGCAGATATATATCAATGGACTGTCTAAGAAACGGCAACAAAGAGGTGACAGAATAACCTTCAGCAGGAAAACAACCAATCAGAAGACGTTGCTTCTCTGCTAACAATAACGCTGTTAATAATAATGTACATAAAAATCTATAAATATCTGTTGATTTTCTCAGTAAACGATCCGTTGCCTGGCCCTTGTCTTCTGTTGTTACAAAAGTAGCGATAATATAGAGTGATTTTCAAGTGTTGGTTTGCAGGGATTTTAATGACTTCAAGTTACATAATGAACTAAGTTTTCAGTTGGAGAACCTTTGAAAATCAAGAAATACTGGACAGGCGTTTTCTTCGAGTTTGCAACGCTTCAAGAGAATGCATCCGTGACCCCACAGGTGATCGAACCCAGAACCTTTAAGGTTACGTGTCTACTGGATCATTTTCTAGCTTTCTATCACTTTTCTGATCGCATCAACATTAGTCAAGAAAAACACATATTGTGAAGGCTCTTATCGAGAAAACAGAATGAAGATTTGTACATTTCTACTGTTACCTACTGAAAGAGAACGAAACAGATTTAACTGGAAAAATATGATGAGAGAACAGAATTTTATAGAATAAGATGGAATCATTTTATTTTTTATAAGCGTTTTTCTTAACCATTAAAAGTTGTCGCGGACATCCTTAATTTTAAAGCTAGTTAGCTAATTAACCTCGCCTAGTTAACAAGCTCAATAGTTTTCTAGCCGGTCCCGAACCTGGGTAAAGAGGGAGGATTGGGCATGGGGCTAGCAACCCCACACCACCAAATCTTTCAAACCGCTAGAGAAACTTCAACACACAGAAAATATATTAAAAATACAAAAGCTTCAAATAACAACAATCTTATTCTTCGCTCGAATCGGAGAGGCGAAATGACACAGTGGACTAGTGAAAGCCTTCGGGAAGCCAGTCAGCCGATGTGTCTTCTCGCGATGAAAGCAAGAGTAAGAATGGGTAAGTGGAATGTCCGTACAATGTACGATACTGGCTGGGAAGGCTGTCCAGGTAGCCAAAGAGATGCGAAGATATGGCTTAGAAGTGCTGGGTATCTGCGAAAGCAGATGGAATGGATGTGGACTGACAACATTGTCAACGGGAGTCAATAATCTACTCCGATCATCCAGACGACAACCACGAACACACTGAGAGAATGGAAACCATACGGTCACCAGTGGCAGCCAAAGCCCTGAAGCAGTGGGAACTAATTTCATCCTGTAGGATAATGACAGCAAGATTCAGCTCCGAAGGAAGGAAGGAAGGTAACAATTATCCAATGCTACGCACCTACAAAAAATGTGGAACAAGAAGAGAAGGATTTTTACAGACAATTACGAACAGTAATGGACAACAACCCAAATGGTGACATCAAAATCCTTATGGGCGATATGAATGCCAAACTGGGAGCAGATAATACAGGAAGAGAACGAACTAATCATTGGTCGAGAGGCTTTCGGAGAAATGAATGAGAACGGAGAATTATTCCCAGACTTCTGCTCTTTCAACTATTTGGTGATCGTAAGGAGCGTGTACAAACACAAGGATATACACAAAGCAACATGGATTTCGCCTGACGGACATACCACAAACCAAATAGATTTCATCTCAATCTAAAGGAAGTGGAGACGCAGCCTGATCGACATAAAGTTGACAAAGGGAGCAGATGTTGGCTTTCGCTGGCTCCATACTGAAGATCAAATGGCCAAAAGGAATAAGCACCAAGAAACTCTGAATGACAACAAACCCACCAAGGGCCGATCGCTCAACAAATATGTAGGAGAAAGTAGAGATGGATCGGGTATACATTGAGGAGGCCGCCGTATGATATCGCAAGCCAGGCCATTACTTGAGTGGAATCCCGTTGGCGAGCGACGAGCGGGTCGTACTATGGTGACATGGAGGAGATCGTGTGATGAGGAGGAGATGGGAGAGTTTGGTCAATCGTGGACCTAGCTGAAGAGGACCGCAGAAAACAGAACAAAGTGGCGGTCTGTTGTTGAAACCCTATGTTCCACTCGGAACGCAAAGGAATAATAAATAATAATAATAATAATAGTTAGCTAATTAATTTTACATGAACAACCATAATAATAAAAGCACAATCAACTGTTTCTTTTTTTCAATTGTTCTCGATTGTATGGGCAAAATCAATCAATCAGACAACATGAAATATTTTCATATTTCAGTTGAATAAAAAGAAGGACACACTAAAAACCCAAACTTTACTATATTGACACTAAACGCCCCCTCCCCACTTAACCCTGACTAAGATACTACTTCCTCAGTAGTATGTTGAAAAAATACCAAATTTCTATTAGTGAGTATATATACATTCGTGAGCGTTTACAAAACGTAAGTGAACACATATGAGTCAACTGTGTGATAAATCAAATTTAAGAGAGGAATTTGAGCACTGTGGGAAATTTAATTTCACAGAAGATATAAAACACACAGTATTGTGATAACTGGATGACGTTTTAAGGTCGATTTGTTGCTTATAAATGATATCAATGCAATCACAAGATTCAGTAACGTGTCTTAATCTCCCTGATGCATTTTTATTGTAATTTTCCTTATATCTCGGGGGAGGGGGGAGTATCGTATTATTTCGATTGCAGATATTTGGTGTTGATTCGATGAACATAGATTCGGTGACTGACCTCTCTTTCCACCTAACTATATTACTTTTCAATACTTTCAATCTGCCTCACTCTATTGTGTTACTACATACAAGTGAATGCATAGCAATGGCTGGGTTTTATTCCTACATTATTTAACTTAGCAGGGTCAGTCATTATAGATCTAACTAAATTTCTATGTTCTCATAGTTCAACTAACTCCGACATATTAATCTGACCCATTTAGTTAACCTCACAGTCACTAAATGGTATTTGGTAGATCACATTATTTTTTCCCAATTGCATCCATCGAGTCCTTATACCGACAAAATCCACCTCTGAGTCAGTTGGTTGGTTTAAATGCCATCCTAGTTATGAATCCCTACGTGGGTATTCTGACTTCCCTTATTTATAAAGCAGTACTGACAAGGTTTTGAATGCCTTATCATTTAGCTTATTTTTACCATGTAATTTTTCAGATTGTCAACATGTTATAATTGAACATATTTTAAAAAATGTTGTTTGTTTCAACTATACTACTGAATTTACGACACTTCAACCGAGTATCACAAAGTATTCAATCATTATTTCTATTTTATTAATAGTATGATGATGTTTGAAAAAAAAGAACCACATCAAGGAATACGTTAAGGATGTGAGGATAAATCCTCCGAAAAATGTACACAATTCAATCAACAAAAGTAGAAAACTTCATGTTTATTTTTTGTGTATGCGACATAAAATAAAGTCTAGATAGCACGAATTACTCAAACAAATAGCTTTCATTGGTACCGATCTGGAAGTTTTCCAAATTGAATTTTTTGATCCCTTTACATTTCAAGTGGAACAAAGGACGTCGGGCTTGAACTTTGAAATTTCGGTAGCATCACGGTGTTTTTTTTACCCAATCTTTCCTCTTTATCGAGATTACCACCGGCTAAGTGAGTTTTACGACTGAGTCAGCAGGGAACCGAACCTAAATTCTATGTGCGTGTGGTTGGCAAGCAGTTTACCGCTGACTGAATATGGATATGAAGTCAAGAAGTAGTTCAATACGAAGATCTCTGCAAATGGTGCGCTGAAGATAAGATAAGATGGTGCGTTGATTACAGCTTGATTCCACACCGTATTTTTTTGTACAGGTATGGAATTTTCAGCATGCGATATCGGTAGCCCAAATTTCGCAGGCTGACCATAGATATCAGGTGTGCGTCGACAGGGGATCGAACGCCGGAGCGTGTGCATGGTCGGCAAGAGTCACATAACCACTGTGCTACCTACCGACGCACATAATTTAGCTATAAATATAGAGAGAGATACCGATTTCCAAATAAACAAACATTCCTTAACCAAATCTTTCGTCTCCTACCATTTCAGAGTCGCCAAGAATTTCTCATCTGTCTGTGATATGACTTGAAGCTGTACACCTATTCACTGTGTATCAGACTAACTATTTGTTTAGATAAACATTACTTCCACCTTAGAAGCAAACAATAAACTACTCAAAAATATATTTATCTGATGTAATAGTCTCTACATCGATAAATGGATATTAGCCTACGCCCAAAAAAGACAGTTTCATTATCTTCTTTTAATTTTCTGTAGTCGGGACATTTTCGGGAAACAAAAAACACATCGTACAAAAAAATAAACAAAAATATAGGCGAAATTGTCTTTAAAGAAGTGTATCTGACAAGATGAAATAATTGTTCGATATTTAAAAAATAAACACAGGGAAATAAGTGATAAACAAGGTAAAATGACTCGGTTGGTTATTTTGTAGGCTTGGTCACAATTTATGCTAATGTTATTGTGAATAAATTTTGAACATTTTAGCATATTTGAACTAAGGGCTTTTACTGACGAGATCACGATTCATTTTTTACTGTAGATCTCGTCAGAAACCAACACTAATCCAGTTAGATATTATAAAAAAAATCAAAGAGGACTAGAAAGCTGTTTCGTCCATCTTCGAGATTCTTCATCGGCGAGCAGCCAAAATTTCATTGAAGGCTACTAAAATATATATGTTCTGAAGTTGTAATGAGAATTCATGAACAACGCGGAGGTTCACCACGTCGACGTGTGAAACAGATGCACATCGAAGACATCAGATGGTGGTAGAATTCACGAGTTGTTGAATTCCAGCCAGAGTGAATTACTTACA